TGTCAAATTAATAAACTGCAATTCTCAGGTCTGATTAGTACATGATTAATCGAAGAAAAACAACAGCACCATTACTTGAACATATTATAGCCACAGTCCTTATTTGAGTTAGAAAGGAAGGAAACGAGAACCAAACTGAATTGAGTGTGATATAAAAGCAGCTGTTCCTTCTTGCAGAGGGATCTAAATTAGACCACTTTGTCTCAAACATTACCATAGTTGCCTGAATCCTGTCTTCTACAAATTGGAGAACTCGTGTTCTTAAGTCGGAACTTGTTAAGAGGCTGACCTAAAGGATAAAAACACCAAAGGCATAATATATATTGAAGGGAACCAACATTTTCTCCCCAAAGACTTTACATCTTTTAAAACTGACTTAAATTCTGGAGTGAAAGCAGATGAAAGATTCTTCTAAAGAGAATCAACTAGGACCATCTTCCCAGCAAATGATTTTAATATCCGGTTCAAACCCTCTGCTGGTTTCATCATTGCCTTAAAATGTTACAAGAAAAAAAGAGACTCTTCCTCCCCAAATGCTGTTCCCCCTCTCTTACTCTGAAGTTTTATCCTAAGTGGAATTTGGACAGTTTCAAATAAACTATACCTGTGCAGATTCATAGACTGCCCTACGCAGAAGCAGGAGAGAATTCATTCTTCAAACGGATAGCTTGGCAGTCTGAAAAAGTTTACTCCTTTCCTTGAGAGACCCAAAAAACTATTTTAGACCCACCCAAGGGTTTGGTAGTAATTAGCAAAGCAAACACACACCCTTAACTTCCAAGGGCTGTGTGATACTAAGAGATGACCGAACAAGGAATGCCATCTAATGGTAGATAACAAAAGAACAAAAGGAGTTAAGGTTCTGCTTTTAAGGTCCAAGTGGCTGAACAATAGCAAAATCAGCCAAGCCATGCTTTTGTCATTATTTCAGTTTACAAATCAATAAACGGGACTTCAAAAGCATTATTAGCTCCAAAGAGAAACTCAGAAAACACACATTCACATTTAGGTTTGCTCATTCGTATGTTTATTGTCAAACAGCGTCACAATTCCCAAGTATGATTCATTTTGAACTGTTGCTACTTCATTGCTGGCAAAGAGCTTTACAAAATTCAGAAAGGGTCCTGCCCAGAAAGGGCTTCCATTCTAACCAAACATACAAACAAACAGAAGGAAGATAATAGGAGGAGGGGAAAAATAAAAATAAAACCAGGCTAAATAGAACCAGGGTAAAACAGGGGAGGGGGGCTGGATATGCAATAATAGCAATTAAAACCTGTTTAGGCTTAATTGTAGAGTGGTATAGAAAGGCGCAGGCGGTGCCAAAGAATTCACAGAAGAAGCGTGCTTTGAAAAATACAAAGAAAGTAAAACCAAACTATTCTGCAGGTTCATCCCACGGAGAGAGAACGGCAGAGCATCAAAGGACACTGTAACAAAGATGGTTTGGTTTTCTTCCTGTATACATGTTAGCGTTTTGGCAATCAAGCAAGAACGATTAGACACAACGTTTCTGTTTCAAGCACAGGCCATATTTATTCCATCTGGAAACAGAGACGCAAGGGCTGCCGATAAGGAAAACATTTGCAGGGTGAGAGACTGTATCCCCAAATGGTGCTCGGGGGATGACCGTCCAGGAGAAGCAACCGGGGAATTCTGCTACAAACCACGGAGGAGGAGGGTCTTTTTCATGGAGAAAATCGAAGGGGGTGGGGGGGAGAAAAAGGAGATGGAAGAGATACAGGTCAGTCTTTATCGCAGCTCAGGGCAGATCTCTCCAAATCAGTCAAATCATTGCAAAGCAGTTGGCCTAGGAGGGGGCAGTGCAGAAGTCAAAACCCACACCAACTTCTTGGGGACGGGACAAACGCTAAGTCTCTGCACGGCAAAGGTTTGCCGAAAGGATTAGCAAAAAGGGTCTGCTCTGCCAGCCGCGGGCATCTTCCATATGGCTCCCAGACTCCATTATCCCCTGTTTGCTTAGATAAGGCGGAGCAACCGTCCTACTCGACATATGTGCTGCTGCGGGGAAACCGAAGAGCGTTATGTAGCCGAGCTTAAAATTCTTGGCAAACCTGGGAAACGTAGGCTGTGGACTGAAATATAAACACAAATACACACAAATAAAGGTCTGTAGGAACGCAGCCCGTGCGTCAGGAGCTCTCCCTAGTTACTACTTGCAAGTAGTAACCAGAAGCCAGTCAAGGTCCCTGAACTGCCCTTTTCCCAGCTGGTATAGCTAGTTCTAGATTTTTTTTCCCCTGTTTTTTCCCCTCCCTTTTCTCTGTGTATCACGCTTGGGGATTATCAACTCGAGAACCCGGTCTGCTTCCCTGCTAAATTTATAAAGCACACTGGGGATATTTCTTTCTTTCACTTTATTTGTTTTTTACAAGGTGGGTATTATCATTTTCAAAGACAACAGGAAAAGAAATAACACTAACAGAAATGTACATTTTTTAAAAAATATAGAGAATATATGGTACAGGTTGTTTTTAAAAATAAATAAGCAATGAAATATAGGTGGATAGCTAACAAATCTCAAATAACCAAAACAACTAAAATACCATATGGTTGATACGTTCTAACACATGATTGAAAAATTAAAATGCTACAAGACATTGTCCAACAAATCTCAAATAACCAACAAATCTAAAATGTCATGTGGCTAATGTATTTTAATACATGATTTAAAACTTAAAATATTTAAAATTTCGTATCCAATTTCTTAAGACACGTTTATTAAACTTTAAAAAAAATTGGTTAACCAAGTGAAATCAATAAAAAGAAGAAAAAAGATTATAGGTTATAATACATAGGAATAATACTATAGGTAATATGCTGTTTAGATGTCAACACACTGGGAATTTTCGTTGGCTTAAGAGCAACTAAAACAAGGTGACACTGAAATATGATAATACTGTATAGAAAACCAGAGAAAAGAGAAATAGAAAGAATGAAAGTGACTAGGGCAAATAAATTTAGGCCTGGGTAACCTTTCATTTAAAAGAATATTCACTTAACAGGCTTCAGTGAATCACAGTTGAGTGTCTTAGTCCAATTTTCTCTCCTTGCACTATACATTCAAGCATAAACTTAACCACCTGGACCGAGTTGACCAATATATAAAAGGCAGGAAAAATGATAATAATAATACACTTTCTTTAGTTTTGGCTCAACAAAAGTCTTGTAGTTTGGACACGCAGGTGATGGACTTGACTGGGGAGATGTAAATTCAAGCCCACATTTGACCACAAAAGTACTGGTGCTTTGAGGCCAGTCACTTTTCTCAAGCCTGTCTTCCTCGCAGAGCTGTTCTGGTGGGGAAAAAAAAACAGGGGGACACATACACCAGCTTGATCTGGTCCAGGAAAAGGCAAGGGGGAAAGACAGAAACCTTGGATGGCACGGACTGGATTTTTAAATAGCTGTTTCAACCTCCACACCGCCCAGAGTCACCGCTGCAAGCGGGACACCTGTATAAACCGCTTCGACCACTTGGCGACGTGCCATCACGCCCTTTTCGACTCCTCGTGACCGCACAGATTTTCTCCACGGCCAACGCATGCAATCCAATCCCTTCCACAAATTCATGCAATCCAGTCCCTCCGAAAAATAGACACCCTCCTTAATAATATGCAGCTTTGCAGGGTGATGGGTGAGGTTCCCCCCACCATTTTATTTACAGCCCCAGACCCCTACAGCACAACTTCAAAGAGCGAGCCCCTACCAAAAGGCCAATACAAATGTGAAAATAGGGGGGGGGGGGGAACCACCTCCAAATCTGAAACAATCCATCGCCGGAGGAAGATAAAGGGGAGTGGGTGAAAGGGGACCCTGGCATTACACCGGGTTTGCTTGAACCGGGACTGACTCAACCACCCTTGCCCCTTTGCCCACCACGCCTGGCATGGCAAACAAGAGACTTGCGAGGCTGAAAAAGGACTAGAAGCTGCTCGTCCAGCCCAACCTGGGGCTGGGAATCCTGGGAGTTGTAGTCCCAGCCCTTTGGGAGAGTTCCCCCCCGCCCCCGGCTCGACCAAGCCTTCTGGCTGGGGGGAATCCGCCCCTTCCCCTCCAGGACCCTGGCTGGGGATTCTGGGAGTTGTAGTCCCGGCTGCCGCGGCGGCCCAGAGAGCCCCGGCGCGGAGAGGCGGCCTACCTGCCGGGCGGAGGGCGAGCCGTCCGCGTCCTCCATGGCGGGGAAGGAGGGAGGCGGCGGCGGCGGCGCAGCTAACGGCTGCCCCGCGGAGGGCGCCGCCAGAGGTCAGGGGTCACCCTTCAGGTCGGGAGGGCGGGGCTTCCGGCCGCGCCGCACGCGTCACTTCCGCCCTCGAGGACTGCCCCGAGGCGCCGTCTTCCGCCGGGTGGGGCCGCCGCTCCCATCCTCCCCGGCCAGGATGGGAGCGGCAGTCCAGGCCCGGAGGCCCGGGGTGGGGCAGGGGCAGCTCCTAATTGCGCAACACCCTAACTAATGATAGTAATGGAGGAGGGAGAAGAATACCCTTCCTCAGACTTAGGGGCAGGCTTCCCGAATTCCCCAGCCCGCCCAGCCGTTGCTGAGACCGCTCCCCCCGCTGGAAGTGGCCCAAGCTGGTCGACCTCGCCGGGCTGTTGTGCCGCTCCTGCCAACGTGGAGCATTCTGAGGACGCCCCTAATCCCCGCCTAGCAGCGGCCTGGTGTGGGAGTCCCACTGGGGGCGCCACATGGCGGTGGGCTAGCGCTATAGAGGACTAGGGCCATCTCCCTCTGCCGCAGCTGCATCGCTCTTCGCTCTTTGCTAGCTCTACGGTCACGGCATCCCAGGGACGGGCCACAACCAATCAGGACGCAGATCCCGCCGCGAGGGCTCCGCCACCCCGGCCAATCAGCGGCCTGTCCGTAGCCCCGCCCCTTGCGTCCGATTGGCGAAAGCTCTGTCCTCTCAAAGCAGGGCTTGAGTACGGGCGCAGCTCATTGGTGGCGCGCCGCGGCGGCCCAATCACAGCCGGAGGTGTTGAGGGGTGGGCGGCGTTGGAGCGGCCGCGGCGGCCGAGGCGGGCGCTTCGCCATGGGGCTCTTGGGCGAGGTGACGCGCGGCCTGGTCCGCGGCGCCGACCGCATGTCGGCCTGGACGAGCAAGCGGGGCCCGAGGACCTTCTTCAAGAGCCGCGGCTGCAAGGTCTTCGGCTACATCACCGCCAGCCGCAAGTTCCGCCTGGTGCGGGACCAGGTGCCGGTGCTGGTGGTGCCGGACCTGACCGGGTTCAAGCTGAAGCCCTACGTCTCCTACCGGGCGCCCGCGGGCAGCGAGCCGCCCCTCAGCGCCCGCGCCCTCTTCCAGCAGACGGCCGCGCCGCTGATCGAGAAGGACATCAAGGACGGCGCCTTCGACCCCGGCGCCCTGGAGAAGTACGGGTTCGAGCCCAGCCAGGAGCACAAGCTTTTCCGGCTCTTCCCCAAGAACTTCGTGCGCTAGCAGGCGGCGGAAGGAAGGAGGGGAAAGCGGGGAGAAGCAGCTCTCCCCCCAACAGACGGGGACAAATCGCCCGCCAGGACTGCGAGCTTTGGAAGGCCTCCAAACGCAGGGTCGCAACGAGGAGGACAGACAGACCCCACCTCTCGAAGGAAGACTCTTGGAATTGATCACTTTGGAGTTTTCTGGAGAATAAAAGAGGTGGCAGATATTACACCTTCCTGCCTGGGAAGTGTCTCTATGGAGTTGTTGGTGGCATCCGTTCAAAGCAAAATGCCTGGGAAGAGACGTCACAGGGTGGGAAAATGTGGGCTCCTCAAAAGGATGGGTTGCACGCTGTGCAATTTTAAGGGGCGTGGGTACTGAAGCTTGGTGGGGAGGGGGGTTGAGGGGGCTCCTGTTTCACCTTGCTATTTGCGCCACTCTTACATCTCCATGAACAGTGAAGTGATCCTTTTGATGAAAAGCAAAAAAAAGGAACAGGGATTAGCATATGTTTGTTAGGGCTCTCATATTTTGGGGGAAATAACTGCCATTTTTAAACTTGGCTGTGTCTGTCCTTAGCCATGCTTTCCTCTACTGATTAGATTGTTAAACTATCAAAACCTCGCATATATAAACTCTAGCAGCTGCAATTCTAGAAAGTCTCATTGGAAAGTATTCCTACCACCATCTGAGGCCACCTTTACAATAGCTATTCCACCCTTAACATATTCTTAACTGTTGACTATATGCTATAACTTTGTTCTTTGACCAGAATATATCCTGCCCTCAAAACAGACTTAGCCTTGCCTTCATGTAAGTGAATATATTCTTTGTTACATATGAAGAGCCATTCTCCTCCCGTGACTTGGCAGATTGGATTTGCCCACCCCAAAGTAGTTTGTGAGGCAGGCAATGTATAATCTTCAACACTTGTAACTCCGATATTCCACCAAAATAGGTTAAATAAAAAGGATCATGGGTCTTATAAGACAAGCAACGTTTTATTGTAAAAAGATCAAAAATATATTTTAGTTGAAAGGTGTTCTTTACAATGCCAATGAGCATGTTTGTATGAAAAAGGCATAATTTGTAATACTTCAAATTATAAGCATGCCCTTTGGTGAGGAGTTCCACAGCATTAAGGGACTTGTGCTTGGATTTCAAGAAAGTATCTTTTAATTTCCTTTCAACATTTTTCCCAAGCTTGCATAGGACTTCAGGTTCCCTGTTTGTTTGGGATAAGCCTCTTTTTAAAGGCTAAATGTTGAAGCTGGTGTCTGAGTATGTTGCAAGAATCAAGTCTTAGGGGAACAGTGGAATTAAGGGGAAATAAGAGAACCTGAATAGTCTTATTTCTGCAGCAAAAAAAGATGTAGGAAAGAACCAAGCAAGCAACGCAGCTCTGAAATGCCTGCAGAGCCTTCAAAAGTCACAGCTACTAGAGGCTCCCAGGAGTAACATACAAATGTGACATAGGAAATGGGAGGCATTGTGAAAGTCACCCTTTCACCATGTTTCTCCCCCTGCTGATAGATAGAAAAAAAGCAAGGCGCATTGCAGCCTCCATCCACACCAACAGTGGGTTTAGGCCAGAGGGGAACTCTGGCTGACCTCCCACTTCCAAACATGTAGGACGTTGTCATAAAAAGAGCATGTTGCTAAGAGGCTGGTCTCCCTTTGGGCTTTGGCTGATTGAGCATCACCATTTGCTTTGGTATCTGGGGCTCTTCCATCAGCAGAGGGCTCCTGCAGGTCCAGGCTACCTTCTGCTTGGGGCGGCGATGCAGGGGTTTGATCTTCCTCTTCTAGCAGCACATCAAAGGTGGCCGTGGGGGATTCATACATGATCTTGAGGTTCTGCACTTTCAGATCCTCTCTCCTGGCTCTTTGATCCACCTGAATTATCGGCATAGCTGCAGACATCTCCAAAGGGTTGCTCGGGAGAAGCCTGGACCAATCAGCTCCATAAGCCAAAGAATTGTGCAACACATAAGATGAGAGAATGGTGCATTTCTCTTTGGTCTCTGCTAATAGGGGAAAAAAGAGCAGGACTGTTGCACCTGGAAACATCGGTATTCCTTAGCGGAATAATGAGGACGGGGAGAGAAATAACCATTTCTTCCCTGAAATTGGTGATAGGAGAACAGAACCATCATGGTCTATAAACTGTATCTTAGGGATGACCATGGGGTGAGCCAAGCCAACTGTGATTTACCCAACAAACTGGTTAAGCTAACAATAACTGAGAATGCTGTGCAAACCCAGCCATTGTCTTACTTTCGTATTCCAACTCCCAGAATTCTTAGCCATGGTCACACTAGCTGGGGAAGTCTACCAGTTATAATCCATCTACTTGGAAATTACTGTAGCTGCAGTAAGCAGAGATGTGGATCACTTCCCAAAACCAAAACACTCACCCAAACTGCTCTGACAGTCGAGGATTACGAAGCCGTTGTGCATGCAGGCGGCCAGCAACAAGTATTCCTGGGATGGGTGCCATTTTAACCTCCAGACCCCACCTTGCACGTGGGTGTCAGCCAAGGGCTGCTTCATCTTCCTGGTGTCCCACAGAAGCACATGTTCGTCGTAGCTGCAGAAACACACTTCAGAAGTCTTTCTCCTCCCTCCCCAAAGGCCCAGAGCTTTCATGTGTTCATAGCTGATTTTTTTCCCCCTACCTACAAGGCTTCTCACTACATCCCCAGTTAGCAGATACTCCTGGAAGTGATGTAATAAGCTTCAGAGACTCACCTTCCCGTAGCTAGCAGATGTTCCCGCAGCGGGTGGCTCTGAATACTGCAGACCCCCATGGAATGCCTGAAATGGAACCCGCATCAAAAGAAGGCTGCTCGGTCCACCCCTTTACTAGCACAAGAGAGGGGCAACGGGCTCTTTTTGGAGATTCCGCTACTTACTGCTCACTCGTGAAGAGAGGAACTCTTGAGCTCTTCCGGGTATCCCAGCCTTGCAGTTTGCAATCATCTCCCCCTGGGATCAGAGAAGAGAAGACCAAGAAAGCTGGTTGCTAACGTGATTCAATTGTCTTTAGGAAGGCAAAGGTGGGAGATTTTTTTTTCTGGACAGCAGGACACGCTTAGCAGCTACAGACTTCACTGCTAGCCCATGGGAAGATTTTCATGTGTGCAACTTTATGGCCTGGAGAGTGGGGGGAAAGATCCATCCTCTGATTCCCCTACTGTAATGGGCAGAAGGAATGATCTGGAGGGATAGGAGGAAAAGCCACTGCCTAGACATCAATCAGATAAAAGAAACCTGAGTCCAGGGCAGAACTGTAATCTGAGGAAATGTCTCAGACGAGACCCTCCCTAGTTCTTACAAAGATGGAGGGAGGGATGAAAGAACATTCAGACTTGCAAAATTCTATTACTATAACTTTATAATAAAAATAGTATTAGCATTCATGACTTTGGTTTCCTAGTTTGGTCTACCTTGAAGGGCTGACACCAATTAACAGATTTGCAGAGGTGTGAATTGGCCATCAGCCTGAGGCAGACAAACCCCTTTTCCTTATGTGAAGTTGGTGGTCTCCAACTCTCCAAAGTCAATCCTGACAATGGTTGGGTTCACACGTTGCTCTGAACCTAGCCACCATGGTTAGTAAACAGTGGTTCCCCTTCAACCTATCCATGGCCCATTCTGTTTGTGCCAGCCTACCAGAGACTCCTGCAGTTGCCGTAAGAGCAAAAGCACACCTGAGTACACAATGTGTGTATTCCAGTAGTCGAACGCAGCGACCCAGGCTTCAAAGTCGTGTGCTTTCCACTGTTCCAGGACGTGCATCGAGGAACCGGATTCATCCACGGACAGCAAGCTCACTCTCCCTTTGGAATCGCTGCTGACCAGTCGTGGGGGGTGGCTGCTGCAGAAGTGGTGTGAAAGTGTTTTTTTTTTTTTAAAGGCAACTTGTTTGCCACAGAAGCAGGTATGAATGATAGACAACCTGGTAAGTCTACTACTATTCAGTATCCACCAGAAGCAAGAATGCAAAGTTTAAAGCTGAGCATGGGTTGCACCATGATGCCTGTAGGAGAGGAGAGCTTCCACAGGCCCATGTTGGACAGGAATCAGTGCAAGAGTCCAAATTCAATGTTCCCTGCCTGTCCAACCTCTACTTGAAGATATTCAGTGAAGGAGAGCCCAAGTGACAGCAAGATTTGGGAAGAACCATGCATTTCAACTCCCCCCGCAAGAGACCCACACAGGCTTCTCAACAACGCAAGGAGACCCATATGAGAAACCTCCTAATTCATCAATACAGCCCATGGGGGAAACGGTGCTCCTGGAAAGCTGCTTGCAATGCCTTGTGCTCTCCATTCTGTCAGGGGGCAGGCCAAACGCAAAACCAATGCTCACATCGATCAGACGGGTGGCCATTGCACAGGTCATCACACACAAAACTGAAGGTGAAGAAGAGAAGCCCGCGCCACCAACAATTATGGTGCTGCTCACTGGAGTTCTCGCTTGGACTGAGGTGCCAAGCAAAATGGCACAGCTGGAAATTCAGCAGAGAACCCAGGTATTATTTGTATCTCCTGAAGTAGACTTGGCCACCACTGCCATACCCCAGTCTTCACCAGCCTGATGTTCTGCAGATGAGTTAGAGTGACAATGCTCCAAATTCTCCGCGTGTTGCCAGGAAGAGCAATGACCAATCTGGTTGGGTTAGGCTGGCTTATCCCTGGCTGCTAGACCCTTGACTGCTTACCGCTGCCCTCGTCCAGTGGACCAGTCCAGCGACAAAGCAAGGCACTCATCTCCTAGGTCAACGCTGCACAGCGGCTGAAGTCTGTAGCTCTTCTACTGAAGAGAAAAGGGGACTGATCATAGTTCAAAGCAGACATTTCTCCATCGCCAGTTACAAAACCCATCCAGATCTCTGTGTAGATGCAGTTTCTTTGGTCAAGAAAGCATGGAGGCCCAATTTCAGTAACCAGGGGCCACGGTGGGATATTTTCTTAGTCAGCAAGTCTAGTTGAACTTACTAGAAAGTAAGCCCCACAACACGCGTCATTTGTGAGAAGACCCACACAACTGCCCATCCCATCACCGCTTGAATTTTTGCAATACAAAGGTTATCCATATCTCTACCAGTCTATTTATGAACTGTTCTTAGGCGCCCATCTCTTCCTTGCCTCCCTCGCCCAATTTCCTTCTCTTTGACTATTTTGCATTTAAACAATATCTCATTAGCTCCACATTGTAAGAATCCCCATTGGTCTTCCACCTTTCGGAGGGCAAAGACCCCACTGATAGAGCCAGCCCAGGGATCTACAAAATGGGCTTAAGTGGTTATGGATCTCTCTCCAAACACCTACCTCACTTCCCATCAAGTGAGTGAGCTTCACCACTCCCTCAGCATTTGCAATGCCTAAAACAGGACGTCCTGCAATGGGAATATGGCACCTTGAAGAGGAAGAGATCGGAAACACATCAGCAAGGGCCCAAAGGAAAAATTAATCTCTCTCCCTCGCCCTTTTTCAAAGGAAGAACATCTCGTTTCCAGCTTGACTCCTCTCAAGTCTTGGGTACAGTAACTATGACACTGACTGAAAAGATTGAAAAAGCATGCTACCCATTTTACAGAAGGAAGCGCAAGGCGAAATAACATTCTCAAGGCACACCATCCCTCCCAATGTTTTGAATACTTCCCATCATCCTCAATCCGTCTAGCCAAGGCTGATGGGAGATGCGGACCACGCTGTGTGGAGAACATCAGAACAATGAAGGTTGCTCAATGAAGCCCACAGTGGAGGTGGGCCTTCAACTCAGATCCAACACCTCATCCAACTGAAAGCCCCAACTTTTTGTACTATGGGGAGATGTTTCCCACAGAGGAAATAACCCTTCCCTAGCTTATTTCTCAATGAAGTAAAAACTTGGAAATGAAATGGAGAAACATCCGTCCAACCATTTAATGTCCAATATAGCCACCGTTTCCAGCCTCTGGATCTCTGTCAGTGGTGTGAAAATTTGATCTTCAAAGGAGTAGAGGTAGAGGCGTCCTAGACGGATGTGGGGTTCGTTGTTCTCACTGCAGCTCTGGCCAGGCTGTTCAGGAAGCAGAAGGAAAAGCCATAACTCAACCGACCCATCTTATATAGCCAACTAGTCACCCTGGTGAAAATCAGAGCCACCCCCTGGAGGGTCTGCCAGGCTAGCCCATCTAGAAAGATGGAAACAGCCTCTGAGAGAGAGGGAGGGAGGGAGGGAGGAAGGAGGAGAGGGGGAGGGGAGGGGAGGGGAGATGGTTTCTTCAACATGCTTCCCACAGGCAGGATACCCTTGCTGGTTGGAAGATGCTTCTCACAGACAGGAGAATCCCTGGCCAGCCCTACCTCAAACAATCCTGCAACTGCAAATCAGCTCCATAACTTTTCTCCAGCTCCAGGGAAAGGCTGTAGCTCACCTCGCTGTCCAGTTTCTTCAACTGATAGGTGCCGCATGCCAAGACGCTGTGCCAACCTTCCACGGGGCACCATTCCACCGCATCCGCACTGTATTCAGTATCAACCACCTGCAAAGTTTGTATCTTGCACCTGAAAGCCATATCAATGTGCATTCATCCTGGGCTGGAAAAAGGAGGAGGAGGAGGAGGAGGGGTGAGAAAAAGGAGTGCTTATTATTGATTCTGATTCCTACGGTTATAGGGAATCTCTCCCATAATCAAAGTTCTCCAGGCAGATTACAACGTTATGTAAAAAATCCTAAAGGCATACGACATGAAAAATAATAATAATAATAATAATAATAATAATAAAAAAAAATATCCTTCATCCAATGAGAGTAACCTCCCACACATTCCTGCACTCCATTTTTAAGGGAGGAAATAAGAATAGTAATAATTATAGTAATAGTAGTAATAACATCCTTGACCCAGTGAGAGTAACCTCTCACGCAGCTCCTGCACTCCATTTTTTTCAGAAAGGAAATAATAATAGCAATAATAACAATATCCTTGATCTGATAATAGCAACCTCCCTCTGACCTCCTAAATAATAAAAATAATAGTATCCCTCCTCTGATAACAACCACCTCCACTGACCTCACACACTCCATTTTAATAACAATAATAATTAATATCCCTGATCCGGTAATAGCAACCTCCCACTGACTCCATACACTCAATAATCATAGCGATGATGATGATGATGATGATGATGCTGCAGTATCCTCGATCCAGCGAAGGCGGCCTCCC